GGGGGGGGGGGGGGGGGGGGGGGGGGGGGGGGGGGGGGGGGGGGGGGGGGGGGGGGTCAACACCATAACAGCAGTGCCAAACAGCGAGGAGTTGTTCGGGCACGGAGACGAAAGGGTCTCGCTGAAACAGCTGCAGATGATAAGGTATTGTGTATGCACTCCACAACAAGGGGGCGTCAACGAATATCATTTCATTTTCACACAAACGACAAGAACCACTAACCTGGAGATGGTGTCCGGCGTGATGTCCTTCCATGCTGCGTCAAGCAGCTCCGCCGCGTCCAAAACGTGAGCATGGTGGCCCTCTACCAATCCCGCCGTACCGGCCGTCATCTTGCGTTCCTTCGCCTGTCCGCGTAGAGTGTCTGCCACAGACACGGTCGACACCCGCACACCGAGCAGCCTGGCGCGGTAGCGCCTTTTGGTTGCCGCAATAATTTCCATTTCCATGGGCTGGTGGACGCTGGTGCAATTCGGCGGGTAAGTGATCGTTTTTACCTGCCCCTTGGGATCGACCAGTTCATCGTGCGACGCACACCCGTCCATCAGGAGGAGCACCGGGCGGTGAGCCCACTTCCGAACGAAGGGCAGGAACACCTCGAACCACCACCTCTTGAAAGTAACGCCGTCTGACCAAGCGTTGGAGTGTGCCCAGTACTGATCGGTCAAGCTCTCCGGCGAAAGCAGCGGGGGTTCTTGGACTTGCCGATGATCGACATCGGCACCTTGCCATCCCCGGTGGCGTTGGTACACATGTACGCTGACACGCGGTCCTTAGCCTTCATGCCCTTGGTGCCCCTCGCTGTCTTTCGCTTCTTCCCCGTTGACAGGTGTGTGCGACCCGGCATCAGCTTGTAGAAGATACCTGTCTCGTCGACGTTGAAGATGTTCTCCAGATCGTATCTCTTGCACATGTCGCGGACAGCCGCCATACCCACCTCGATAGCTTCCGGATCGACGCTGCCGGCCTCGCCGTGGAGCGTCGTGCTGACCAGGTCATGACGCGAGATGAACTTTTTTGCCCAAGTCTCGCTCGCCCCGAACGCCTGGAGGTTCTGCTTCTCCGTTGCCTTAGTTGTCTCCAGCTCCATCACTGCTTTCTTGGCCGCATGCCCGAACGACGGTATCGTGGCACGCGTGACAGGCAGCCCATGCTTCCTGCTTTCCTCGACGAAAGCCATGACACGCTTGTCAACCTGCGGGAGGGGGGAGTGTGACGGTGGAGTTGCGGTAAGCCAGGATTGTTAGTTAAACGTGTATACATACTGTAAATTACTCTCAACACGTGAGCTTGTGAGAACATTGTGGACTGCACATAATGGTATGTACACAACCGGGATTTGTATGCATGCAATGTACAAATGTGCTTACACTCGCACTGTGTACAAGTATCGCCGACAAAAAAAAAAAAAACAGGAACAAACTATACTTCGGCGGCTTTGTCGAGCGTGCTTGGGAGCTCAAGAGCTCACATCAGCATCACATGCATATTGATCGTATATTTATTCTCTAATACATGCTCGGAGTACTGCAGCAGTATGCACGACGCAACATACAATACTGCAGCAGTAGGCTGACTTTTTTTTGCGCACACACACCTCGGGAAATTGACACACACCGGTCACCCCGGTGGTCTAGTGGGTAGCCTCGCAGCCTGCCAAGGGCCAGGTCATGGGTTCGAGTCCCGACAGAGTGAGTTTTTTCTCGCTAGTTAAATCCTGGTCTCCGTTGGAAGCGATGCGCTGCAAAGCTCGTTGTTAGTAAACTTGATCGACTTCGAAAGTCGCGAGGGAAGGGATTGCTGTACCCTTCTCGCGATAAAAATATCTCAGACAGGAACCGCAGGAGGGGGTCCAACCCCCCCCTCCTATGTGACCCCGGTTGGGTCGTCTAGCTGGTAGAAGTGGAGGATAGGGGCCAGAGGGGCAGACGACAGAATCCAATGATGGGAGAAAAACACACAACACAACACACCTCGGGAAATTGATTTTTCTCAAATACATGTACTCGGACTACTGCTGCTGTACAGCAGCATGCACGACGCAACATACAATACTACTGCAGCAGTAGGACTCTTTTTTTTGCGCGCACACACCTCGGGAAATTGACCTCCTCGTTTCTTGGCTGAATCTCGACGTGCACCAGTCGCAGCGGCCCTCTCCTCCAGGGTTTTCCTCTGCTCGGCGACCTTGCTCGCCGTGCTTCAGCCGCACTTGAACCTGCGCGCGATTTCCGCATGCGATGTCTTCTGGTTCGAACAGCCCGAGGATCTCGATCTTCTCACCAAGGGTAAGCTGCCTGCGCTTGCTTGCTCCGCCACGCCCTGCCTTCTTGGAGGTGGCCAACCTCCCCTGAGGACAAGTGGAGCCGTTCGCTTTGCGCTTACCGGCGCAAGATGAACTGCTGGCAGCCGGCTTCTTGTTGGCGCATGGTGTGCAGATGCGGAGTGTCTCGGAGCTTCCCTCGTCAACACTCTCCACGTTCTCCACATTGCCATATCCTTCGTGAAGCCGGCCGCCACAACCTCCGTGACACACATGTCCATCGGGAGGCTCATCAATCGTGACGTCTGGGGTTAGACACGTTTCTCCAGCCGCGCATCGCATCGTGTTTATGCTGCTCTGGTGTGGTCGTGTGTATGCGTGTATGCTGCCGCTGCAAGCTGCTGGTGTGGTTGTGTGGGCAGGAGCTGTGAGGAGCCGAGGGAGCCACCCGAAGGTGACAGTCCCACACCTCTACAATGGGGTCAGCCCACTATAAAGGGGCCGTTCTCTTTATAAGAGGGTAACCCTCTTATAGCGGGTCGCGCCCGTGCCAACCGATTTTCACCCTCTAATAACGGAACCCCCTCTTACTCGGTACCCTCTGATATCGGAACCACGATTGTAACATAAAAGCTCAGCTGTGTGAGTTATGAACTTGGGAAACGTCACAATCAACTGGCAGTTGGCAGCCAGCTAGCAGGTGCGGGCTGGTGCCGCCTGATTTTGGTACTATAATACTACGCTTAGTGACCCCACGCCGGGAGGGATAACAATCTTGTACAGTATTGTACAAATAGACTACAGCGCCGACAGCACATGTGTTCCAAAAGTATTCTTCTCATGCAGGCCGCATGTTGCCATGCCGCTCGTTTCGTATCGATTCGCTACACGCGCAAATGCATGGATAAAATCTCCCCTTAGTGGCTGAAAGCTATAACACGGCCCCGATCGGATTGCACTCTAGAAGCGATTGGTGCCGGCAAGGTTCATCGCGTCTCGGCTTAATTGTGTAAGTGTAGGGTTGGCGGGTTGGCGGTTGGCTGGTTTCCTTGACGGGACTGTCCGGCTAGGCGCCAAGCCGAGAGAGCACGACGGGTTTGTAAGGTGTGAGTGTAGCAAGTCGCAGTAGCAAGTCGAACTACTGCACGCGAACATCATTTTGCAATGAGGGAGTCGCAGCTCCCAGCCGAATATGTAAAGCGGCGAAGACCTACACGGTTGGGTCATAAAAGGTAAAGATGTTGGGCTCGGAATCGCCTGTCGTTGTACTTGCACGTGGCAGATGCATCGCCGTAGCATCAGCCAAGGAGAGAAATAAATCAGTATGAGAGAGACGGAAGCAGCCGCCGACGCACAGAGGTACCAGGCAACAGCAGGAGGGGCGGAGGGTGGGGATCCAAGCGCGGATTGTGTACTTCGCGGACTTCTTGCGTCAGGTGGCTACCAGCTGAGAGGTATATAGTCTATATCCGTTCGGACCACACCCATCTATCTATGCGGATGCGGACGCTTTGTACACCGGTTTACACACCTCTTCGGTAAAAGTAGAAGGGCGTCAGTACCAGCTGCGACGCGGCCGGGTGACTGGCACTAGACGTGTCCTCGCCTTCAAGACGACGAAGAAGCAGTGATGTGCTCGAGGTGTGCACGTGGAGCGAAAAGTTGAGGAAACAAAGCAAAAAAGGGACCGCGCGAAAATAATAGGGAGTAGGTGTTGGCAGTTATAGTGGCTGCTACACCCCAAGATTCTAAAAGTATTCCCCAGTCAGTAGTCCCACAGTCCCGCCTTGGTCCCACAGCAGCGCACTCTCTTAACTCTACCGTATCTCTATGCGATTGGCCATATCGCTACACGGATGTTGAAAGGTTAAAACTATATGGGCGAAGCTAGCCCCGCAATTCCCCAAAGAAGGGAAAGCCACGACTGAGAGAGCGAGGTGCGATGATTCTCCGCTTTTCAAGCTCCTCTCACGACGCGAACTTTTTGCAATATTTCTCTTTTTTTTTTGTGTGTGCGGTGAGATGAAGGTCGACCTCCCGTTCTTTCAGAAACGACGATGATGGATATCGCCTTTCTGTACCTGCCTGTAGAGGATGGCATTTGAATTCGGGAGGCCATCATGTAAATAAATGAATACTTTTGCAGAGCGCTCTGTGGAGACGTATACAGTAGTTGTAGATACACGAAGGAGAACCGAAGCGCGCATGGCACTCACCTCCATACCATCCTCGNCATCAAGATCATCACCAACCGTCTAAGCGCCTTCTGCGAAGCCAACAACATCCTCCCGGAGGAACAGTGCGGATTTCGACCCGGGCGATCCACCGTCGACATGCTGTTCGTCGTGCGCCGCCTCCAGGAGCTGGGGCGGAGGAAGAAAATACCGCTCTACATGTGCTTCGTCGACTTGAACAAGGCGCATGACTCGGTGGACCGAGAGATGCTAAGGAAGTAGCTGGCCAGGGCCGGGATTCCCGCGAAGCTGATCGAAGTCATCCGCCAATTCCACGATGGAATGCGGGCCCGGGTGCGCATGGGCGACGGAGAACTATCGGACTGGTTCTT